TGAGACCCGGGGGGCGGGGTTAGACTGAGACCCGGGGGGCGGGGTTTGACTGAGACCCGGGGGGCGTGGTTAGAATCAGACCTGGGGCGTGGCTTTCTAGTGGGCGTGGCTTCCAGGGGGCTGTTTGAGAGTGAGTCCCGGGGGCGTGGCTGCCAGTGGGCGTGGCTGCCCAGGGCAGAGTCAGGCTACATGCCGGGGGCGTGGCTTCCCAGGGGGCGTGGCTCTAGTGGGCGTGGCTTCAGCCACCAGGGTGTCTCCCTGGAGACTAGGCTTGTCCTGGCTCCCCGGTTGCCTGGAAACGCCGGGGCCTGCAGAATGTCACTGGTGCCAGCTCCTGGTGACAGGCGAGGCTGGCTCCGGCCTCCGATCCACCGACCAGCCTCCACTCTGCGTCCTCCCGGGGCGTCCCTGGGCCCGGCTCGGGGGTCCCCAGGGACTGTCACCCCTGTCGCACGTTCCCGGTGGGACAGTGGAGGCCGGGCAGAGAGGCCGGGGAGGGGCGCAGGGAGCACCCGGGGGGTGGAGGACGGCGCCCCGGCCTCCCCTGACCCTGGCCTCCACTTGTCCCCTCTGCAGACCTCCCTTGGTCACGCACACCGCTCGGATTCCCGTTGCTTGCAGCCCGCGCTCAAATCCTGGCCTCGGGCGCACTCTCTTTCGTTTAGTCCCCCCCCCAAAAAAAAAAAAAAAACACGCGCACCTCTTCAGAAGCCCTCCCTGATGCGCGCTCTCCCAGCTGCAGGGAACGGGGGAGGGAGACGAGGGCTGCAGTCCCAAGCGACCCTCCCATCCTCGCCTCCTCTCCCGGGTAGCTGGGATTACGGGCGTGCCGCACACGCGCCCGGCTCTGTTTTTTTTTTTTTCTATATATTTTTAGTTGTCCAGCTCATTTCTTTGTATTTTATAGTAAAAACAAAAGTCTCGCGCTTGCTCCAGCCGCCTTCCAACTCCTCGGCCTCGATAACGCATTCCTCCCTCCTCGGCCCTCCTCCCAAAGTAGCTGGATACAGCATGCGCCACCACGCGTAGCCTAATTTTTTTTTTATAATATTATTTTAGCTGGCAGAATTGCCATTTCTATTTTTTTTTATTATTTTTTAGTAGAGACGGGCCTCGCTCTTGCCTCAGGCTGCGACCTCCAACTCCTGGGCCTTGGAGCAGTGATCCTCCTGCTCGCCTCCTTCCGAGGTAGCTGCGGACTACAGCTGCGCCTCCACGCTCCGGCCTCATTTTTTTAATAATGTATTTTTAGGTCGGCCAATTAATATTCTTTTATCTTTTTTTTGCGAGTAGAGACGGGGTCTCCCTCAGTGCTCAGGCTGGCCTCCAAACTCCTGGAACCTCGACGTCCTCCCGCCTCAGCTCCTCCCGAGTAGCTGGGACTACAAGCCATGCGCCACACGCCTGCCTCGTGTTTTTCTGCTATATTTTAGTTGCGCCAATTAATGTTCTTTCTTACTTTTGTTTTAGTAGAGACGGGGTCTCCTGCTTAGCTTCAGGGCTCGGCCTCCACCTCCGTGCCTCGAGCGATCCTCACTGCTCAGCCTCCTTTTCCCGAGTAGCCTGGCGACTAAACAGGCATGCGCCCACCACGCCCCGGCCCTCATTTTTTTCTATATATTTTAGTTGCTTGCAGCTCAATTTCTTTCTATTTATAGAGAAAACGGCCCGGTTCTCGCTTCTTGGCCCTCAGAGCGCTGCCGCCTCCAACTCCTTCCCATCCGAGCGATCCTCCCCCTCAGGCTCCTCCCAGCAGTTGCAGGGATGACGAGGCCTGCAGCCTTCCGCGCTGGGCCCTCCCCTGGGGTTTTCATCTTTTTCTTATACTTGTCACCGCTGAGTTTGTAACCCAGTGGCCACGTCGGGATGTGCGAACAGCGGGACCCCCCTTACTGGCGCAGGTGCCGTGTGTGTCCCCATCTGTCCACTTGCGTCCCCTAAATCACCTTTGTCTCTTGTTACGCTCGCTTTAAGGCACGGTGCACGCTGCCCTTCCACGCGCATCCTCTAAGCGCTCTCCTGGCCGTCAACCCTTTCTTGCGGGGGTGTGCCAGAGTGCTTTCTAGTGAAATGGGCTGTCCCATTTTCCTTGTGTCGCCGGGCATCGTGGGTGACAAGAAAAGGGACCACCCTGGCGCGGGAGTCGGGAGCGCCTGCGGACTCCCTTCCCTGACATTAGAGCTGCGGGCTGCGCGCTTTGGGTTGGGGAGAGCAGCCAGCTCTGCTTCCCAGTTTTGGCGGGGGGGGGGGGGGAGAAGACTGGATCAGGCCACGGCTGATCCAGCAACCTCGGGGCGTTTCCTGCCGGACTCGGGGGGGCCCTGTGATGAGGCGTTGAGCGTCAGGCGCCGCCCCCCTTCTCGTTTCTGCGGTGGAAAGCGTTCTGGGCCTCTCTGGCTCGTCTGCGCGGAGAGCCAAGCCCTTGCAGAGTCCTGGTGAGGCTGGCCGTCGCTGCGAGCCGGAGCACTGGCGACTCTGGGGTGTGGAGGACGTGAAGAGCGGGAAGAGGCGGTGGGGAGGCAGGAGCCCGGAAGTGGCCAGGCCTTGGTGCAAGGGCGCGCAGGCGTGGCCCCAAGAGTCTTGCAGAGGGGACAGTGGAGGCCCAGGGTCAGGGGGAGGCCGGGGCGCCGTCCTCCACCCCCGGGGTGGCTCCCTTGCGGCCCCTCCCTGGCCTCTCCTGCCGCCTCACTGTCCCACGGCGTGGAACAGGCGTTGACAAGTCCCTGGGGAACCCCCTAGCCGGCCCAGGGGGATGCCCTGGGAGGCCGCAGAGTGGAGCTGGTCGGTGGATCGGAGCCGGGCCAAGCCTCGCCTGTCACCAGGGGAGCTGGCACAGCTGACAATTTTGCAGCCCGCGTTTCCAGGGCAAACGGAGCAGGACAAGGCTTAGTCTGCCCAGGGAGCACCATGGTGGCTGGAAGCCCACCGCCCACTAGAGCCACGCCCCCGGAAGCCACGGCCCCCCCGGCATTGCAGGTCTG